AGATAAACATCGATTATAGTATTATTATTATTATTAATAAATATATTATTTATATTTTAATTTATATTTAAAATTTTTATCATAAAAATTATCGCATCGTCTCGCGATGTTTGCGATAATAATAATAATAATAAAAAAACAAACAAACAATAATAATAATATAATTTCACAGTGTGCGTCGGTAGAATTATTTATATCGAATCGAGCATAATATTTATTTATTTATTTACCTTTTTTTTTAATAAATAAAATATAATGATAATAATAATAATATATAATGATAATATGATAAAATAATGATAATAATAATAATAATAGTTTATACTCATTCAACTAATCTCGAGTGTGATTCGTTTCGAATTAAGTCTTTTGGTGAGGGGGGGGGGATTTTCCTTTATTTTCTCGAACTTGTTTCCACGCGCGTTTTTTTCTCTTTTTTTTTATAAAAGTTTATTATTATTATTAATATAAAAGGCGTATTATAAAAAAAAAATAATTAATTAATAACTCGTAAAAAAAAAAAAAAAAAATTTATTTTAAATAAATACCCACGAGTCAATGTGATATTATATAAATCTTAAAATGAAAAAAAAAAAAGCTTAATCCAAAATAAGAAGATTATCTGTATTATTATTATTATTGGTGTTATTATACCATTGATAATAATACTTATAATAATAATGATAAAAAATATATATTTTTTTTTTTCGGGATTTGATTCGGGAGGAAAATAAACAAACAAGGAAACGGAAGTTGACGACCTTGAATCCGTGCATTTAATTTTTTTTTCGTATAAAAATTACCAAAAAAAAAAAAATACAACAACAACAACAATAATAATAATACTAAGAAGAAGAAGAAGAGAATGGTTTATAATATATTGATAATTCTGGATTCGACAACATATTGTTGTAAAAAAAAAAAAAAAAACGGCCTTCAAACTCCACCACAAAAACCAGATTTTTTTTTTTTTGTTTTTTTTTTCCAAATATTTTTTCCAACTTAAAACGTAAAAAAATTTCAAATGGTATTTTTTTTTTTGTATTGAACACAAAACGAAAACGAATTCGAAAACATTTATTTTCATTGTATAAATAATAATATCGTTCCAGCAAAAATTTTTTTATTCCAGCATTTTTTTTATACGTGGTATAACCGACGCTTTATCGGATTTAATGTTTTCCATGTTCGTGTGAGCGAAAAAAAAATTATTTATTAATTAATTTGACTCTGGCTGGATTCGGTGATTATTATTATTATTATTATTATTATTTCAACAATGGATGATTCTACTGAAACATTTTTCAAGTCATCAGAAAGTAATGAATCACGTGGTTAACTGACAATCATATAAAACGTATAAGAATGTTAATCTAACGTACCTGATAAAATTAAAATCTCGTACGTACATACCTACATATATACCTTTTTCCCGTGTTAAAGATATTATTATTTGATAAATTTCACTTATCAAATGTTTCAATGTTCTATTTTTTTTTTTTTTTTTTTTTTTTCTAATGACTTTGTTGTCCTCAGTTTTTTTTTATATTGCAAGTCATTGTTGCCGACAAAATATGTTGTTGTTGTTGTTGTGGTTGTTGTGGTTCTCATATCGAAAAAAAAAAGATGTCTTCATTTTATATATATTCAGGTATTTTCTTGTATATTTACAGGTGTGAGAAAGAATTTATCGTGAGACACGCATTTTTATATGCATAAAAGCGTTTTTTTTTGTTTACGAAAAAACCAAACCTCAGTCGTTTCTTGTTTGTCGCTTCTATTTCCCCCCCCCCTACCCCCAGAAAAAACGCCTCATTTGTAGTAATAACGAAATCATTTTTTTTTAAAAATAGTTTTTAATAAAAAATGAAAAACCGGGTTAGAAAAATTCTAGTTTTTTTTTTTTTTTTACATGTAGGATTTTTATACATTACACAGGTACGCCTTAATCTAAAAATCTAACGAAATAAATTAAATGAATTATTAATAATAATAATAATAATTTTAAAAGTGAGAAATTAAAAAAAAAAGAAAATCAGGATCATGTTTTACGTACGCAACAACAAAGCAATAAGATGTTTATCTTTTAGAAAATTTTCTATCTATGAGTTACGAAACGTTTTTTTTTTTTTTTATAGTCTATTTCGTATAGATAAAGGCTATAAAATTCGACGACGTTTAACTCAAAAGTTGTCGTGGCAAGAGTTTTTTTTTCGCGCTCGAAAATAAAAAGAAAAATACAAAAAATGTTCATACCTCGTAAACATACTGTTAAATCCTTTTTCCATTTTTTTTCAAAAAAAAATTATTATAAAAAAATCCTTCGCACTAATTAAAATAATGAAAAAACTAACATCATCTAAGAATTATTATTTTTTAAAACGACGAATTTATCATCAATCGGCATTTTTTTCCGCGACACAAATCATCCATATCGATATTATTAATATTTATAATATTATCATTAACATTAAATTCGATAATCGATCGATTATTAGTAGACATTTTTAATTTTTATACATCACGCGCACTCACTTTTATATTATTATTATTATGTACATTAACGATAAATTCACATTAAATTTAAAAAAAAAAATGGATTAATAAAATCAAACAATTCATTCGATTTTTTTTTGTTTACAGATAAAAAAAATCGATCGATTCACAATTATTAATAATAAGAATAATAATGATAATGATAATGATAATAACAATAAAAAAAAATTCCGATAAAACAAAATTTTCACTTTTTAATCCGACCCGTTCCGAAGCATTACATGCTATGAGAACTTGGGAGTTAAATTACGAAAAAAAAAAAAAAAACAACAACTCCTACTAGCGTACCTGTATATTTCTTTTTATTTAAGCTCCGCCCACTTTAGGTACCGAATAAAAAAAAAATCTTCAAATCTTTTCTTTATTTTAAATTATTTATTATTATTACAATTATTTGATTATTTTTTTTTTATTTATTAATTGATAATAAAATATTACGTAATATTATCAATAATTATTTTAAACGACAAAATTTTATTATTATTATTATTATCATTTATTACGTCATAAATGTTTTTTTAAAAAAAATTCAATTTTAATTTTTCCTTTCTTGTAAATATCGACGATGTGGGATTCACGTTTAAATTCAAAGCTCCGACCGTTTTTTATATGAACTTACCTGATTGGTTGAATTTTTCTTTTTTATTTTAATCTCATTGGTTGATAATTTTATTTACTTAGCATATGCACTTCGTACGTAATTTTTCAATGATTTAAAATTTAAATGACTTTCTTTATTTACTTATACATATATATGTATATTTATTATTATCGTTTTGATTATTTAAAAAATTTAAAAATTATTATTATTATTTTTTTAAAAAAAAATGGAATGGTTTGGATTTTTTATAAATTAACTAAATACGTCATTCGATTGTCATTTTATTCGAAATATATAATTTATAATAATATATAATTTTGGTTCTTAGTTTATATAGATATACGTATATTTTCCCATAATACTTTTTATTAAATTTTTTCATTATAATATAAATACGCTAACTGAATTTTAAAGCAAAAAAAAAAAAAAAGGAAAAAAGGAAAAAAAAACGGTTAAATTTACTGCAATGAGAATAATTTATGAACTTTATCATCATCGTTCATGTTTTGGATGGGAAAAAAGTTTCTTCTTCTTTTTTTTTTTTTTATATCACTGAACTCTAAATTTATAAAGTTCAAATGAAATTTTTTTTTATTTTATTTGACCTCAGAACAATTTATTAATAAATCAGCTTTTCGTTAAATGTTGTCTATATAAATTGTTATATTTAAAAACAAAAGAAAAAAAATTTTTTTAATTAAACGAGGATTTAAATGGTTAAAAAAGGGGAAAGGGAGGAGAAGAAGAAGAAGGGATGAAGGGATAATCACGATGATTAAAATTTGCCCGCATCGTTGGTGGCATTTGAAAAAAAAAAAAAAAAAAATTTCCACGGAGATTTTCGTGGTAAATTTTTCATTTTTCATTTTTTTTTTTAAATAAATTTTTTATCACGTGTTCTAGTTTAAAACACATAAAATACGATTTCGTTTTTGTTTTCTCTTGTGGTTGTTGTTGTTGTTGTTAATACGAAGTAAAACGTTATTGTTATTATTATAAAAAGAAAATTTACGATTTAGTTAATTCATAAATTTATTAACGTTTTGTGTTTAAGATTTTATTTAGGTTTTTCGTTTCGAAATAAAAAAAAAAAAAATGCGTTTTCTTTTTAAAAAGAGATGGAATGTATAAAATTTGACGAGGTTTTATACCTCGAAAGAATAATTTTCGAATGTTAAACTCAAAATTTTTTTTGCCATTCGAAAATCCCGATAATACCCGAAAAAAAATTTGTGAGACGAAAAAAAAGAAGCAAATTTAAAATATTTAAATTTTAATTTATTATTATTAATTAATTTATTTGATATTTTATTATTAATTATTTTTTAATTGATTACCAAAAAAAAAACGTAAAAAAATAATATAATAAATGATATTTTTTTTACTGTGTAAAGTGTTTTAAAATAAAAACAAAAACCGGTTTCGTTTAAATTAAAAAAAAAAAAAATTATAATTAATGTAAAATTATTCATTATATCACGAACGAAAATTAAATAAATAAAATAATAATTTATTAATATCTTTTTATATATATATTAATGACATTGAAACGAATCACATTTATAATAATAAAATTAATTAAAAAATTTTTAATTATAATTTGTAAAAGTGGCAAAAAAAATAAAGAAAAAAAAATTCTTTGGAAGGTTAATAATAAATCAATCTGTCAATAAAATTAAAAAATTTAAATATTATTTATATAAAACGAAAAAAAAAAAAAAAAAAAAGTGAGATGATGATAATGATGATAATGATGATAATGGTGATAATGATGATGAAACCATCATTTATAAATAGTTTTTTTTTTAAATTTAAATTATAGGAAAAATTTTAAATGTCAATATCAAGGCTGTTAAAAAAAAACGATTGAGACTAATAAACACCTTCAAAAAATTATGTTATGCAATTTGTAATGCATTCACGTATTTTTTATTTAAAATTTTTTCGGGGGTTTCGAGGATTTTGTCGGATTCACGACGCATCCCCAAAATAAATGAGCTTCGGATGATTCGTGACGTATGAAAAACAAAAACGGACGATTGACTCGTATTATGAAATCGTTACCGACGTGATCGACCAACGTCGTGGTGGCAGCGATCAATTCCGTACCTAATTCGTCAACCTGCATGGATACCTTATGCAAAATATCATCGATTTTAAAACGGGCGTCGTCGGACGCTTCGCTCATGTCGAAATCGTTTTTCTTTTCGGAATTCGAATAATCCGGTCCTACGGTTTTGTGCGATTTGAAATCGTGAAAATTTTTATTCGATTTACCATAATCGTATTTTCTCGAATTGAAACTTTTCAAATATTTAAAAATGGCATCTTTCACGCTTATCGTCGTCGTCAATTTGACTTTTGGGAGTACCAATGTGACGTTTTCTAATTTAGCAGATGATGCCATGGCGTTGAATTGTTTCATGGCAACTCTCGATGAAAATTTACCGTTTGGTAAAAGGATGTACATGACGACTTGGCGAGTTTTATAAGGGAGTCCTATCAATTGATAATCGGATGTGTTACCGTAGAGAATTTCTTGTTCGCCGTACATGTAATCGACTTGAATCTAAAACAAAAAAAAATTTAAATTAAAGAAAAGTTTTTTGGGGAAAAACAATGTTGAGGAAATATACGACCGATACCTACCTTTTCATTTTCATTTTTGTAAAATAAACCAGGTTGAGTGTAATCGGGATCGAAGGGTATTTCCCAAGAACCTTTAAAATAAACCACGTTTGCCATTAGGGAAATTAAATTTGTCGAAATCGGCAAAGTCATCAATTCGGTAAATCTATTTCTCGTTACGTTTTTAACCCATTCATTGATTATATTGGTCGGATTCATTGATGATGATTTCCCGCTGAAACGAATACACGTGACCTTTTTTTTTAAAGGAAAATTTCCACGTAAAAACAAACGATAAAAAAATTATAAATATATATTTTTAATGAATCCAACGTCGTCATTACTAGAGAGAGAAAAAAACAATGAATTAAAAAAATTTTTTTTCTTTTTATCAATTGTTTCTCTCTCTCTCCCTCTCTCTTTCTCTCTCTCTTTACAAAACGTGATCACGTTCAAATTGTTAAGAAGAGAAAATATTCAAGAAAATTGATTAATAATGTCAATAAAAAAATAACATCGAGAGAGTCAATAAATAAATTTAAAAAATTTTTCTTTTCCAAAACGAAAAACAATTTTTTTTAAAAAAAACGTAATTAACGTGTATAGTAATAATAATAACAATAATAATGATAATGATAATAATGACGATGATAATATTAAAAAGAAACGAACGTTGAAATTTTTTTTTATTAATATTTTTACATCATATACGTTTCTTTTCCACGAATTTTTTTTTATTTTAAAAGAAAGAAAAAAAGAAAAAAAAAATTTTACGTGAAATCTACTGGAATTACTGGAGTGTTGTAAAAATCCCATATTGCGTGTTTATATGTCGGTTTAAGTACGAATTCCGGCTGGAGAAAAACGACGCTGTTTAATAAAAGTACGTAATCATTATTATTATCCTGTGGACGATTGAAATATTGTAACAAACCGCCCAATTCTCTATGGATTTCCAATCTCGTGTGATTTTTTTCTCCAGCGTTATCTGAAAAACGTTGATAACAACAACAATAATAATAATAATACAATTTACTTTTTTAAAGATTTTTTCGAATCGATACGATTTCGAATAGTAATAATAATAATAATAATAATAATAATTTTTCAGATTGGAAATTCCAAGACTTGATTTCTCGGTCAGGTTTTTCATTGCCATTTCCACTTTTTATGCGTAATAATAATTTTTTTTTTTTTTCGAATAAGTCAACAGTCAAATCGAAACTTGTTTTTCTTTTTTTTTCTGTTTAATTAATGATAATAATAATGATAATGATAATAATGATAATAATAAAATCATTTTTCTGTCAATTTCGAATAATAGTTTAATTACTATTCGGTGAAAAATAATTATTGTTAATCATCATTGCACGTGTAAAAAAATTTTTTTTTATTATTAAAAAACAAGAGAGAGAGAGAGAGAGAATGTAAAAGAGAGAAAGTGAGAGAGAGAGAGAAAAACAAAGCAAGTATTAAAAAAAAAAACTTTTTGAAAACTTTCCAACCACGTAGAATACATTAAAAAAATTTAAATGTATGCGATTACAATATAGAATAAAAAGTTTTTTTTTGAAATCGAATCGATATATCGATTACGATCGATTTATCGATTTTTTTTCGGTTTGGTTTTATTAGAGTGAAATGGGCAATGAATCGTTCGTTTGAGACCCGATTAAAATTAATAATAAATAATTTACCTATCGATAAAGCATTGATAAATAATTGATGAATTTTTCCACGGGAAGCCATTAGCAATTGTGCAAAGACTCCAGCGAGACTAACTGGAGAAATGATCCAATTATTTGCGGCAAAATTAATTGTTTCTTCTAGGAAAAGATTTTGCAATATTCCAGCCACGCTTTGAACGGCTTTAATACCCTAAAAAAAAAAAAGCAAAACAATTTCATTTTTCGATTTGCAAAAAAAAAAAGAAAAGATGTTACAAAAAAAAATAAAAAGATGGCGGAATACCTCGCGAAATGATGATATTTTAACATCGTCCGGATTAAATTTTTTTCTTATATCGAAACCGGTAAAACTTGTGGGGAAAGTTATTATCGATGATTCTTCTTTCGACGTTATCGTTTCGACGACGACAGTTAAAATAATTGTTAAAATCATTATTATTTTCATCATTGTTGTTGTCGTTGTCGTCGTCGCCCCCGCCGCCATTGCCCACATCCCGCTTTGTTTGTTTTTATTTATGTTTGTTCACTTTTTTTGCATAAACTTTTTTTTCCCAACTTCCACGAGTTCACTACCTGAAATGAATCGGTTGACTGATGATGATGATGATAATGATGTCCGTTGGAAAATTATTCACGATTATTATTATTATTATTCTCCATTCAAGGTTTTCGATTAGTAATTTTTCAAGGTCAACAAATTATTACGCGACCTCAAAAACTCTACGATTTCAAAAATTTTTCGGTAAATGATGTCTCGTTTGTTTTAATTATGGAAGAAAAAAATATTCGACAAACAATTAAACGTAATTATTAATAATTATTTTAATACCAAACATCCTGAAAAAATTAAAAACTTATAGCACATTAAAATTGAATTTTTTGTGTTTTGTATATACACGTGTCCGACACGTACACAATTCATTTAAAAATTTCCCTCCAACCTTTTATAGCTCTAAATAGCGTTTGTGCACGTGTTAAACATTCGTTTTTCAAATCTTTTTCCCAAAAAGTTTTTTTTTTTTTTTCCTTCGTAATTTTACTCGAACTAATAATACAATTCACGACAATTCGTGCGTTGTTAATTTATTAATTCATTCATTCATTCATTCATTCACTCGGTGAATTCAAAAAATAAAATTTTTATTCGTTATATTTATATTTATAGAAATCGCAAACGTTAAATAAATTTTTTTTTTTCCCACCACACGAATAAACGAGTCGCAAATTAATTTTTCTAAAAACCAACCAAAAAACAAATCAAAAAAAATTATTTACCTTTTTTTTTTGTTAATGAACCTTTTCGAAAACCTTTTTTTTTTGCGTACCTTTTGCGAACGTTTTTCGTGCGTATTGACGACACCAAAAAAAAAAAAAAATTTTTTTTTCGTTTTTTTCGTTTACAAATAACGAACCGGCTTAACTCGTACCTGATGTAAATAAAAACTCCCGTTTTGTAATCACGTGATTAAAATACGTCACACAGATTTGTATTTAAAAAAAAAAGAAACTTGCTTGAAGCGTTTTCATCAATTTTTTTTCATTTTTCGTTAAAAATCTTATTTGTTATTTATTTAATGATGGCTTATAAATTTTAACAACAAATAAAAATTATATGTACTTTGTTATTTACGATAGTAATTTAATTTCACGTATTATATTTATGTACGAACGATGGAAAAAAAATACATTGTAAAAAATTTTTTTTATAACAACAAACAACAACAACAACTTATTTGTTATTAAACAACAAAATTAAAATAAATTATCTTCCAGCAATATTTATATATAATTTTAGGTTTGATAAAGAAAATGAACTTTTACGAACTCTATCGGATAAATTTTAAAACTTAAAATTGATAAAAAGTTTTTAAAAATTACTCATAGAGTGCGCGAGTGTATATATATAAATAAAATTCCCCCCCCCCCTTATCAAAAGCGTTGTTTTGTTTTGATAAAACCTATTATCATTCACATCAAGAAAATAATATTTTATTATTTAATTTTTTTTTAATTTTATAAATTTTTTCTTCGGGAAATTTCTATTTATTTATTTATTTTTTCGCGAAGGGGAATAATAAAAAAAAAATATGAAAAAAAAGGAAGAAAGGATGAAAGAAAGGATGAAAGGAAGGAAGAAATGGAAGGAAGGAATGGAAGGAATAAAAAAGAGGTTTTGATTTTTCCAAGTTAAAAACTTTTCTCTCATTCATTTCCCGTTTTTTTTTTTTTTTCAAAAAAATTATTTTCCTTAATTAAGTTCACTTTTTTTTTTCTTCTTCTTCTATTTCTTCTTTCATTTCTTATTCTTCTTTATCTTTCCCTAATCATTTGTCTTTCTAAGAATGTTTTAATTATAAAATATTTTAAACTAATTATTTTTTTTTTTTTTTTTAGAATTTTAAATTATTCTCCAGTTTGAATTACAAATTTTCGAGAAAAAAAAAAAAAAGTTGAATTCATTTCCTTCGAGCGATTCGAATTTTATCATCATTACTATTATTATTATTATTATTATTACTTTTATTCAGAGAGACGGAGAGAGTAAAAGAGAGAAAGTAAAAAAAAAAGCGTAAAATTCTATATTTTTATTATTATTTAGGAAAAATAAAATAAAATTTATTCCAGGTATGACGAATAATAATAATAATTATTATTATTATTTTTCTTATTTTTTTAATATTCAAATTGAAAAAAAGAAAATGTCTTTTTTAGTTTTTGAAAATAAGAAAAAAAAAAAAGAAAAGAAAATGAAAACCAGAAAGTTAAGCGCGAAACGTCATAAAAAATTATGGAAAAATAACAATAAAAAAAATTTTTTATTGAAATAAAACAGAAATTTAAAATTTTGTTACGTCATCAAAAAGTAGATAAAAGTAGATAGGTAAAAAGTAAATAGATAGATAAATAAATAGATAGATGGATAGATAGAAAGAA